GGGGGGCCCCCCCCTTTCCCCCTTCGCCTCCTGACAGGAAAGGCTTAAGGGGGACAGAGCCCTGGGAGGCCGGGCCGGGCTCGGGGGCCACCCCGGGGGCCCGGGCCATGGATGTGCGCCGTCTGAAGGTGAACGAACTTCGCGAGGAGCTTCAGCGCCGCGGCCTGGACACTCGCGGCCTCAAGGCCGAGCTTGCTGAGCGGCTGCAGGCGGCGCTGGAGGCCGAGGAGCCTGACGACGAGCGGGAGCTCGAGACCGACGGCGAACCGGGGCGACCCGGGCACAACAACGAGGAGGTCGAGACCGAGGGGGGCTCCGAGCTGGAGGGGACCGCACAGCCGCCGCCGTCCGGGCTGCAGTCGCACGCGGAGCCCGGCGGCTACTCGGGGCCGGACGGACATTGTGAGAGTGCGCGGGGCGGGGGCCGGGGAGCCCGGAGTCTGGGCCAAGGAAGGGGTGTGGGACACGGGAGTCTGGCACCTGAGGTTGGGGAGAGGCGGTCTGAGGACCCGGGGCTCCTGCTACCTGCCGCTGAAGAGGATTTGGGAACTAGGGCCTCCGGACGACCGGAGGGTAGATCCTGACGTTCGGCGCAGGGGAGCTCTTGGGCCGGGGGAGGGGGCTTGGTTTCGGCGATGAGGGTCGGAGGGTGGGGAGCGGAGGATTCCGGACCTTCGAGCTCGGAGACCGGAAACTGCTTTCTGCGGCCGGTGAAAGTCAGAAGGACGAGAGATTTTCTGTTTGGGGGCTGGGGAGGGTCTTGGTCGTGGAGGTCCTGGGGTTCAGAGGTGGATGGGCTTCGTTGGTGGTCCTAGCCAACCTTCTGGGCTGGGAATTGGGAGCCGTGTTAGCCGTGTTTCGAGGGACCGGGAAGGAATGGCCAAGTGTCTGAGGCTGTTACAGAGTTTTGAGGGAAGAGAATCCTGGAGTTTGTGGCTGGATGGGATAATGGGAATTGTCGTATGTGGTGTGAAGTGGAGGCGCAGGTGTCTGTGTTGGATAGAGTCTGATGCGCTGAGTGCTCCGATGTTTGGCTGGTGAGCATTTAGGGGATGGCGAGGCCAGCTTGTGATTGGGCTGGAAGGCCACCCTCGGGGCAGGCGCAGCTTGGACGTTTGGTGCTGGAAATCTGAGGACTTCCTGGTTGGCTTCTAGAGGAGGCGTAGGGAACCGTTGTGTCCAGAGGCTGGTGGGGGAGGGAAGGATGCTGTGCTGGACAAAGGACCTGAGGTTTAGAGCGGGGAAAACTCTTGTGTGCCCAGAGAGTAGAAGTGGGAGCCCCAGAGAAGTAGCAGAGACCGTCTTCCTCAGCCAGCAGTAGTCCCAGGGGAGAAAAGTGGTTAGGGTAGATCTGCAGTTGTCTTTAGAGAGGAGACCTTGGTGTGGGTGGGAGCGAATCTGGAGTTAGAAAAGGGCAGTTGTCTAGCAGGACTGGAAAATGGGGGACTGGAGAATTTAAAGAGTAAGCACAAAGGACTCTGGCATCCAGAGTTTGTAGTGTTTCTCTGAAAAGAGGGCTTGGGGCTAAGGGAATGAGGAAAGAGATGAGGTCACATAAGAGACTAGATTTGGGGTTGGTATTGGATATGCGTTCATGAGAAATAGGGTCTCATGGAGGGCAGCAATTCAAGTGTACATTTAGGGTAGACAGTGGCCTAGGGACTGTCAGGACCTAGGTGCTAGGAAAAAACTTCACAGTGCAAACACTTGTGAGGGAAGGGAGTGGCTGTGTGTGTGTGTGTGTGTAGAGTAGGAAGGACTGTGGCAGGAATACCTAGGAAGAGGAGCTGTGGGACAGTCCTGACCCAGTGTTCTGGCCAGAGGTGTGTTGCTAAGAGAAAACAAGTTCAGTATTTCAGAGTGCAGACTCTAGACACAGACTTTGTTTCAAATCTGGCTTACTGGGCCTCTTTGCCCACTTGTCCTGGCAATGGAGATTCATTCATCTGTGTTGAACGCATCTTGCTCTACTTTGTAAACCCATCTTTCTCTTCCTCAATAAACTTTGTTCCTTGCTTGCCTTAAAAAAAAAAAATCTAGCTTAATGACATTGGCAAGTCACTTCACCTTTGTGATCTGGTTTCCTTGCATGTAAAATTGGGTTAATAACAGTGCCCCCCCCCCAAGGAGATTTATGAATGAGATCACATGTATCCAGAGTTTTGCACTGGGCCTACCTGATATTAAGAGAGGGATTTTTTTGCAGAGTGTCCAACCTGTGCTCTAGCATGCTGATTTTTGTGAGAACTCTTTTTTTGCTTATCTGTGGTGTCAGATATCGTGAAAAGTGTGCGTGGAGTTTATTGCGTGGCCTAAGGAACTCTTATTCTAATGTGCAGTAGAAAAAAGTTGGACACTCCTGTTAGACAGTAGTAAAAGATGCTAGAATCATAGTTTCTCAGGGTGAGGCCACCTCTAAGCACAGAAACATGCTTGAGAGACACCAGGCTTTGTGAGACAAGAGCACTGTGACTGGAGCCTGGATAAAGCAGTTTGAAAGATCTTCTTGTTCAAAAGATAATTAATGGCTTGGCACCTGTAGCTCAAGTGGCTGAGGCATTAGCCATATACACCAGAACTGGTGGGTTCAAATCCAGTCGGGCCTGCCAAATAACAATGACAACTACAACCAAAAAAAATAGCTGGGCATTGTGGTGGTTGCCTCTGATCCCAGCTACTTGGGAGACTGAGACAAGAGAATCACTTAAATCCAAGAGGTTGAGGTTGCTGCTGTGAGCTGTGACACCATAGTACTCTACCCAGGCCGACAGCTTGAGACTCTCAAAAAAAAAAAGAGAAGATAATTAATATATTTGCCTATCTTCTCTACACACTACAACAAAATCCTTTGAGTTCTCCCATCATTTCCCCCTCCAATCCTTTTAGCCTCAGTAAACAAACCTGTACTAAACCATGTAACCTGTGACTTTCCTCCCTTTGGGCTGCATCTCCTTTATGCCCAGATGTATTTGTCCTCTGAGAAAGGATCTGATCATTTAGCATGTGGCAGAACAGTAATACTCTTTCCTTCCTTTTGGTTCTGCCACATGGCTCCTGGCACAGCTCCTAGTAGGGCCCTGGGGGCACTAACAGAGCTTGCCCCTTGGGTGGAGAACTTGTGTTGCCCATCCTACCTTTCTAAAGTTCTGTCTTGGTTGCCTTTAAGGTTCTCCTCCATGACTGAGTTCTTTTAGTCCTACCTTTAAGCTTTCATTTGTGTTATCCCAACCTCAGGAAAGTTCTTCTCAATTCTCATGAGTCATCAGCTCCTATATATTCTTTCAGTTGACTATTATTTTCTAGGTCCCTTTGTTAACCTCAAGTGGTACTTTTCAGCCCCTAACACAGTCATAATTACATTTTTGTGTATTTCTTTAACATGTGTCTGTCTCATTAAACAGAACGTTTCAGTGAGGCAAGTTTATCTTAGCTGTATCTCAGTGTCTGGAGTATGGTATACACTACCACTCTTCAGTTAAGCTCCTGGACCAGCAAGATGCCTTCCTGAAACCCTTCCAACTTCAAATATTTCAGAACCTGTCCTTAATGAGTCTGAAGGTCACTGTTATGGTCTTGTTTTCATAACAGCTGCTTTACTTGCTTTCCCGTTATCCCTTCAGCTGTCATCATTACCTCTTACCTTTGCAGCTATTGTGGGATAGAAGAGATTCTTAAAGAGGGTTGGCTGTGCAGGTAGGAATAGTGACTGGGCAAAGGGCTGGTTTTTGCTCTGAACCATTTTGGGGGTTAGGGTGGGTAGGGGTGGAGGACAGGGTCTTACTCTGTTGTCCTGGGTACAGTGGCATCATCATAGCTCACTGCAACCTCAAACTCCTGGACTCAAGCATACTCCTGCCTGAGCCACCTGAGTAGCTGAAACTACAGGCATATGCCACCATGCCTGGCTAATTTTTCTATTTTTTGTAGAGACGGGGTCCTGCTCTTGCTCAGGCTGGTCTCGAACTCCTGACCTCAAGCAATCTTCCCACCTCGGCCTCACAAAGTGCTAGGATTACAGGCGTGAGCCACCATGCCCGGCCTGACCATTTTTAAGGTTGTGCCCTAAAAGTGACTAAGTATATTATACCATTTTAGACAATGGCTAGGCTGGTGGTTTTTTAACCGTTCCACAAAGTTCCAGTTCTTTGTGGAGATGCCGCATGCGCTGGAATGGGAACTTAGTCCGGGATGTCAAGCTGGACCCTTTCTCTGACCTTCCCATCTCCTTGCTTCAACTAGAGCAGTTCTGCTTTAATTGGTTTTCTTTATAACCTAGTCACAGGTAGATAGGCAACTTTCTAAGGGGTAAGAGGGCATATCCTCAGGCATCTGAGGCCGTGAACTGCCCAGAGAGATTACCATCAGAAGGTGTTGTCACACTTTAGCCTTTGGCAGGGATGAGCCTGGTGGGGATGGTGTCATGTGATATAAAAGAAGCCACCTCTGCTTCAAGATCCTCCATGAAGCACCCTTTTAACTGGTTGGGATTTTTTGTTTTAAGATGCCATGGACAATATTACCAGGCAGAATCAATTCTATGAGACCCAAGTCATCAAGCAAGAAAACGAATCAGGCTATGAGAGGAGACCACTGGAAATGGAGCAGCAGCAACAGGCCTATCGCTCAGGTAGGAAGACACATGTGGTTCATGTCTAGAGAATCTCCTCTGCCCTTATCCTCTGTTGAGAACTTATCTTCCCAGAGAAATTTTGTGTCTTGGGCAATTCACCTGGGCTTGTCCTTGTCACTCTGACAAGGTTAATTTGAAGGAAAAAACTCAAGTAAGTGTTAATGTTTTTAGATGTTATTATCCACACCCTGGAGAGTTTAGACCTAGAGACTAATATTTATCTATTTGGAATCTTAGAATGTGGAAACCAGAGAGAGCCCTCTAAGTCTACTTTGGTATTTCCATGTTCTAAAGAATATTATTTCAGGAGATATTATTGAGATCTCATCAAAACCAGGTTTCTTAGCCAAATATGTTTGGAAAATGTAGCATAGGCATCTCTTGGAGACTCACTGCACTGATTAGAGCATTAAAGGCTTTGAAAAGTCCTGGGTTTAGGGTGGCGCCTGTGGCTCAAAAGGATAGGGTGCTGGCCCCATATGCTGGAGGTGGTGGGTTCAAACCCAGCCACAGCCAAAAAAAAAAAAAACTCTGTGTCATATATAAACTCAGGATTTTAAAATATACATTATTTTTACAGAACAAAGTTCCCTATAAAGCTATTTTGGGAAACAAAGATGTAATCCAACTCTCATCTCCCTATTTTACAGATTGTGGAGTTTATTTGTCTAATGGCAGAGCTATGGCTAGTACCTGGGAAACTGGCTGCCAGGCTAGTCCTCTTGCTTAATAAACAGCAGTAATATTTGGAAATCAGGGTCCCACTGCTGAGAAATGATGGAACTAAGAGTGATTCCATTTCCAGTCTTGTGTTCATTTTGCTGTTTTATAGCCCCAGTGCCTTTCCTTAGTGAATCTAGTTGATTTTGTCTTACTCCATTCTGGTTCCTCCACAAAGTGAAATCCCCAGACAGTCTTGGGTGTCTCAGGAATTGAATTAATGTAGGTTAAACTGCTGATTTATGTCAGGCTCTGTGAGACTTGTAGGATCATTTGGCCCAAGGAGAATATTGTCTGTGCCGTTATCCACAGATACTTACCCAGGGCTATCTGAGAGCCCAGCCATGTGCTGGGATCCATGGAGGCTCTCTTCAAGATGACTGAGTATCATCCCTGCCTTAGAGAACCAGGAGCTTCCCCTGCGAGATTTGGTCTACATGACAAAGCTAGGAAGTGACCGAAGGTGGTCTTAGATTGAATGCTGAAATGAGTAGTTTGGAGTGACCCAGTTAAGTGCTATGGGAAAAGTGAGGCCAGGCCGAGTATATGGGTTGCATTTGGTTAGGCACCAACTCTTAGAGTCTACCTGACACTGGGACTTTTCCATTGTCCGTAGTCCATTATTCCATCCTGACTTCCTCTTTATAGGATGACTTAATGAGGTTATCCCATCTATGGATGGGTTAACTGCAGATTGGTCCCCCTTTCTTAGAGTGAATCTGGGCTTTATGGTATGGTGACTGAAACCAGTAGAGTTAGCTATAGGACCATAGTACTCTATTGAATTTGCCCTCTCCCCCTCCCTTGTCAGACTGAAGAATCTTTATAAGAACTGAGGTGGAGAGGTTCTTTGGGAGGAGAAATTGGAAAATATGGGGTCATGCTATTTTAGTCCTGTTGTCCATTACCGCCTTCTTGGCTGGCTTAGCAGGCTTCTGTTAAACCCAGCAAGCTACCTGTGCCCAGTCCTTCACCAGTTTAGTCAGGATACTGCTGATGACTCCTGAGGCAAAAGGGACCAGAAAAGCACTATTGGGGGAGCTTCCAAGTGTCTTGATCATCTGGATTTGTCCTGACACTAGAAGTGAAGACAGAGATAAAGCAAGAAGCACCCACCAGCTTCTTCCCACCCGAAGCTTCTCAACTCAAGCCAGACAGACAACAATTCCAGAGTCGCAAGAGGCCTTATGAAGAAAACCGGGGACGGGGGTACTTTGAGCACCGAGAGGATAGGAGGTGGGTGTATGAGGCGATAGTCACCCTTATTCCAGTAGGTCTGTATGCCTGTAACTCCATGCCTGCTGGGGATTTCTGACTAATCTAGAGGGGCTGAGCAGGGTTCCTCATGCCCTTATGCTATTTTGCTAATCTTTCCTGCTCTTACTGTCAGATTTAGCTTCTCTAAAACTTTGGTCTTTACCCCCACTTTCTTCCTTCTTATTACCTGCAGTGTAAATTGTAAACAACTTAGACTGTCATGTGGGAGGTGCCATCTTGCCTCTTTAGTCCTTTGCCTTATTGCCCCTGCACTCATGCACAGTGACCTGTTCTCAGCAGATGCTCGGTTGAAAGATCTATTTCCCAACCCTACTCCCAAACACACATCCTCCTTCAATGCGTTCATTCATTCAGTCAGCACTCACAGTACTTTCAGGAGGTGCCCATCGTGGCTAGATACTGGGGACATAGAGATTTGAACAGTGGGTTCTACCCTTCATTGTCTCACTGTGGGGACTGAGACAGATACATACAGAAGTAACCCACAACCTCAGGGGTGAGTAGTTAGGTTGCAGGTGAGTTTAAGGAGCTCACAAGATGGAGTAGCTTTTGCTCTGGTCATTTCTCTTTTCCTTTTTCTTTGTTTTTGTTTTTTAATTTTTATTTGATTTTATTTTAGAGATAGAGTCTCACTATGTCTCCCTTGGTAGAGTGCTGTGGCATCACAGCTCACAGCAACCTCAAACTATTGGGCTTAAGTGATTCCCTTGCCTGAGCTGCCCAAGTAGCTGGGACTACAGGCACTCGAAACAACGTCTGGCTGTTTTTTTTGTTGCAGATGTCATTGTTTTTTGAGACACAGTCTTATTCTGTTTCCCAAGCTAGAGTGCCATGGCAGCTGTAGCTGTCAGCCTACCTCACAGCAATCTCAAACTCCTGAGCTTAAGCAGTCCTTTTGCATCAGCTCTCAAGTAGCTGGTACTATAGATGCCAGCTAGGACATCCACCTAATTTTTTTTTTTTTTTATCTTCAGCAGAGATAGGGGTCTCACTCTTACACAAGCTGATCTCAAACTCCTGAGCCCAGGCAGTCCACCTGCCTCAGCTTCCCAGAGTGCTAGGATTATAAGTATGAGCCACCATGCTTGGCATCCTTTTTCCCTTTTCTTTTTCTTGTTCTTTCTTTTTTTTTGAGACAGAGCCTCAAGCTGTCACCCTGGATAGTATGCTGTGGCATCATAGCTCACAGCAACCTCTATATCCTGGGCTTAAGCGATTCTCTTGCTTCAGCCTCCCAAGTAGCTGGGACCACAGGTGCCCACCACAACGCTTGGCTATTTTTTGGTTGCAGTTGTCGTTATTTGGCAGGCCCGGCCTGGATTCAAATCCGCCATCTCTGGTGTATGTGGCTGGTGCCTTAGCTGCTTGAGCTACAGGTGCCGAGCCCTTTTTCCCTTTTCTGACAAGCCCTCTCCCTCCCTTCCCCCAAGGCCCAGTCCCACCCAAATTTTGGACACTAGATATGACCTCCCTTATACTAATATGGACTGGTTATGTGACACATTTTATTTCCTGTCTCATGGAGTGCACTTTCTAAACAGGCTTGTTACTCTCTGAGACAGAGCCTGGGTCTCACATACTGTAATTAAAATTAAGACATGGCACACCCACTGCATAGGTTTCTTATACTGCCTTCCAAAGAGTGGAGTCCTGCAGGCCAGTTGTTGATGGAGAACAGAGGAGGAATATTTGCTCTGATCCCAGGCTAGCAGGGAAAGCTTCCCAGCATGGATTTAATATGTGATGAGCCTCTTTGTACCAGGCTCGGGGAACCCTGCTGCCGGAGGAGTCCTAGCAGCCAGGTGGGTGTGGGCTACCTGATCAGTATACATGGTGGTCCAGGGCCCTTTGGACTGTCCAAGCAGGACCCTAGGCATTAGACCCCTTCTTTCTACCCTTCTCCCTTATTCCTATATGACAGAAACCAGTAGTGTTTTAACAAAGTCCCATTTTTAGTATTTTGGTAGGAAGATAAATCTTATTCATAATTTAGGACAATTTTGAAAGAGAAAAGAAACTGAAAAAAGTGGGTCATTTCAAACCTTTTCAGATACAGGATTTTAAGAAAGCTGATAGATGGATAGATTATGATTACTGGGGTTTATCTAGGCCAGCGGTTCTTAGCCTGTGGGTTGAGACCCACAGGAACTGTATTAAAGGCTCTCGGCATTAGGAGTGTTGAGAACCACTGATCTAGGCTCTTGCACGTTCTCCTTTCTGGCCAGCAACCTTTAGGATTCCACAGCTTCCAGTTAGTAACAGTTCAGTGTGGAGGCAGTTCTCGACATGCAGAGGTCATGGATCAGTATCATGGGGTGTGAGAAAATTTGGAAAAGCTCCCTAAATGATTCTTATGCTTCCTTTAGCAGAGCTTGCTCTCTCTATTCCCTGTCTCCATCCTAGTAGTTAACAGTCATTGCTCTCATTGCAAGTACATAGTATTACAGAGTTCTTTTGCTAACCTCTGTGGGAAAAAACTGAGGTCCAGGAAGCAGTCTGGAAAGCACTTGTAAATTCTAGCAGAACTTTCATTTCCCTTTCTCTGCTCATCCAGCTATTCTCCTGTGACCTACCCCCTCTTTTCTACACAGGGGCCGCTCTCCTCAGCCTCCCGCTGAAGAGGATGAAGATGATTTTGATGATACCCTTGTTGCCATTGACACATGTAAGTCCTTGGAGTGCCGATCTAATTCTGTCTTCCAGATAGTATTGGGAAATTATTTCTTGACCTTGGTGCCTTATACCATTCAAAGCCATTGTTAGTCCAGAGGAGAGACATAGATAACATAGCATAGCTCTGGAGCAAGAGCACTGGTTTGGAGATAGAAGATCTACTCCCAGTTCTAGCTATGGGACTCTGGGCAAGTTATTCTACTTCTGAGCTTCCCTTCAGGGAGGAGTAATCCTGCTGTAATACCTTAGGATTTCCAATGAGACTCCTCAGAGAATGGATACAAGAGTAATTTGGAAAACCCTAATCTATCTTGTACACACAGAGGGTTGCCATCTAATCAGGAAGGGAATCTGATTGCTGCTGGGGAACTCTTAACTCTTTGATGACCAGTTCCCCAGTTTGCATCAGCTGTTCATGGTCCTGGTGAAATCAATACCACTTTGTCCTCTGAGGCACTAACCTGCCCACTGTGCTCTCTGTCCTCCAATTTAGTTTTCTTTCTACTAGATAAGTGGTTTTTACTTTGGTTGTGCATCTAAACATTTGAAGGATTGATTGTAGAGGTCCTGTTCTTCCTCAGACCTCCTACGTCAGAATATTAAGTGGTAAAGCCTGTGAGCTGAATTTTTTACATGCACCTGGTAGCTCAGTCAGGTCTGAGAATACTGCACTTTGCAACAGAGTAGAAAGTTAGCAGCAATTCATTCATATGTTTATGTAGCTCATGTTTGGTAAGAGGTAAAGACATACAGTCTTTTCTGTCACAAGCTCTCAAAGATAAAATCTGCCTAGAATACTAAATTTAAAAAATTTTTTTTTTCAGATTAAGATGAGGATACATATTAGGTTACATTGTTTGGTTTTTGTTAGGTAAAGTTCAAGAGCCATTCACCCAAGGGGTGTGCTATATACCCTTGCATTGTACCTGTTAGGTGAGAGCTTAATAATCTCCTTACTCATAGAATTAATGAGTAATTATGATCTAATAAAAAATAAATTAAAAAAAAAAATCTCCCTCCTCCCCTCTCCCCTTCCCCTTCCTCTCTTCTTTTCTCCTCTCCCCGTTTGAATTTAACTGAAAACTAAATATTTTTAAAAGTATTGAATGACAGTGGTCCATGAGGCAGCATCTAATCAAATGTCAAATGTATGGACCATGTTGCTAAGCCTTTAGAGTGAGGAGAGCATCTTGTGGCCAAAATGGTCAGGAAAGGGTTTCTTGGAGGAATGACTGGCTCCTTAAAAGAGTGGCAGCAGCAGAGTCCTAGGCCCATCAGAAGAGATAGTATCCTGTGGTGCACATGGGTAGCAGGTGTGGGTCAGGTTCAGATACTTGTATAGCTGTTGGCAACAGAAGTCTGGCTCCCAAGCTGATAGAGTTAGCACAGGGAAGAGATTAAGAGTATACGGTGGTGATGGTGGCAGGGGCGGGAGAGTCAGTCTTTTCTCTTCTAAAATCTAAATTTGAAATTGGTAAGGATGTGGACCCTCTCTTAGCAAGTATACATTCCTATCAGAAACATTTGTGTACAATTTCAGGGTCTCCCTGAAGCACATCTTGTAGTCTGCCAGGTGGAGGACCCCAGTTCTTTGCTGGGGTGGGACAAGCCAGTTTGCAGTAGTCCACACCCTCTCTAGCAAAGGGAGAGAGGTTAGAGATTATGCTGCTTCCTCTTGAACCTGCTTGTTTTTTCCTAGTCAACTTTTGGGGAATCTCCCTCTGTGTGCCCCGTCATAGTACTGTTAAATACCACTTGACTTCAGGCTTTTCCCTCCACAGATAATTGTGACCTCCACTTCAAAGTGGCTCGAGATCGGAGTAGTGGCTATCCACTCACAATTGAGGGCTTTGCATACCTGTGGTCAGGAGCCCGTGCCAGCTATGGTGTTAGAAGGGGCCGCGTGTGCTTTGAAATGAAGGTAAGTGGGAGCAACAAAAGAGATGGGAAGAGAAAGCAGGCCCATCCATTGGAATGGCCTGGTATCAGTTAACTTTGGTCAGAACTACAAATCTCTATTTAAAAAAGAGATTATATTGAGCATGGACTATGTCCAAGTAAACAAAAGTTCTGATGAACTCAAGGGAACTATCCTCTCCCACCATGGCAGCCAGCTATTCTCTGCAGCCATGGCTCTGTGCTTCCCCATGGCTGTGGATCTCAACAACAGCCACGGCTCGGCGCCTGTGGCTCAAGTGGCTAAAGTGCCAGCCACACCTAAGGTGGCAGGTTCCATCCAGCCTGGGCCTGCCAGAAAATAGCCAGGTGTTGTGGCAGGTGCCTGTGGTTCCAGCTACTTGGGAGGCAGAGGCAGGAGGCTTGCTTGAGCCCAGGAGTTGGAGGTTGCTATGAGCTGTGATGCCATGGCACTCTACCCAGGGGGACAGCTCGAGGCTCTGTCTCAAAAAAAAAAAAAAAAAACAACAGTCACAAGGTGACCAAGAATGTAAGCACTCTAAGGCATAGCTACTGCTACAGCCACCTTACCAAAAACACTTAAGTTTATATGGGACATGATCCAAGAGGTTTGTGACTTTGATCTATATGAATGCTATGGAGTTGCTCAAGGTCTCCAGGGGCAAATGGGTCCTGAAGTTCATCAAGAGCACCAGCTACGTACACTGGAGCTGGTGGGTTCTAATCCAGCCCGGGCCTGCCAAACAACAATAATAACTACAACCAAAAAATAGCCATGCGTTGTGACGAGCGCCTGTAGTCCCAGCAGCTACTTGGGAAGCTGAGGGCAGAGAATGGTTTAAGCCCAAGAGTTTGAGGTCGCTGTGAGCTGCAGTGCCATGACACTCTACCCAGGGCAACAGCTTGAGACTTTGTCTCAAAAAAAAAGAGTGGGAACAGTTATCCTCACTAAGAGGAAGTGGGAGGAGCCAAGCAACACCCTGGCCACCTTGAGGAAAGCAGCTGACAAAGATTGAGCCCCTTCTGCTCTTTATAGATAAAAATATATATATAAAGAGAACTAAACCATAGCTAAATATGTGTAAGAAAAGCCAGCCAACCATTCATTGTTTCATCAAGCAGATTTTCATTGGTGGAATTTGACCTGGGTATTATGTAGCCTGCCATTCTAGTGGTAACATGTATAGAACTGGAAAAAGGAGTTGTTTGGAGAAAAAGTAAACTAGAAAGATTGGGCCCCAGGTATCATTAAAGGGAGGCCAGTAGGAAAGCAGGACAAAGACTGCCAGCTTAGGCCATCCTTTACCATGATCTCTCCAAAGTGCCATATTGTTAAGTTTATGAAAACAATACATGCTGGATGTAACCTGTAGTTCCAACTATAAGGGAGTAATACTGGAGCCCTGGAGTTTAAGACCAATCTGAGCTACATTGTGAAATCTCATCTCAAAAATAAAAAGGAAGATGATTACACATGCTCATGTTTAATAAAAGTTTATATAGCACAGAAAGATGTAGGATAAGAAAGAAGTTACTCTCAGGGTCAGTCAATCTCCATCCTACTCCCTAGAGGTAATTACTGTGTTAACAATTTTTGCAAATCTTTTGCATATCTAAGTATCTTTTGCATGTTTATGATAGTTAACATTTGTAGCGCATTTTTCATGCACAAGATCCAATGCCACGCCTGTTACAAGGATTATTTCCATTAATCCTTGTGGTATTATCATTAACTGGATACTGTTACCCCAGTTTTTAGAAAAGGAAGCTGAGACAGAGGATTTTTTTTTTGTAGGTTACACATATACATATAATTAATTTCCCCTCCCTTAAACCCCAGAGGGTCTCCTTTTATTGACTAAGACACCGTGAATATAAGTTGCATGTTATGCACTACTCATAGAGAAACCTTGCTAACTGAACAAACAGTGCTTTCTTAACACATCAATTGTGAGATAGATTGTAATTTCAGAGATGCTAAAATGAGGATAATGTGGATTGGCACCTGTAGTTCAGCGGCTAGGGTGCTGGCCCCACACACTGGGGCCGGTAGGTTCAAACCTCGCCCATGCCTGCCAAACAACAATGACAACTATAACAAAAAAATAGCCGGGCATTGTGGCAGGTGCCTGTAGTCCCAGCTACTTGGGAGGCTGAGGCAAGAGAATTGCTGAAGCCCAAGAGTTTGAGGTTGCTGTGAGCTGTGATGCCACAGCATTCTACTGAGGGTGACATAATGAAACTCTTTGTCTCAAAGAAAAAAAAAGTGTGGAAAATATGCATCTGAAAAGTCAAAATATGATGACTTTACAAAGGCCATAGGTACACGTGGGTATCAGGCAGTCTGATGTCTAACTTGATTAGAGGTTAAGTCAACAAGTGCTTTTTCCCCTCTGGTTTCTTCTACTTAATACTACATCTTGGACATGTGTCTATACCAGCACATTATCTGTGCCTCATGTTTTTTAGCTGCTGCATTGTATTTTGTGGCATGAATGTACCATAATATAATCAGTGCTTTATTGGTATTTTTTCTAATAAAAAATGGGGTGTGGTAGTTCATGCCCATAATCCTAGCACTCTGGGAGGCTGAGGCAGGTGGATTGCCTGAGTTCATGGGTTTGAGACCTGCCTGAGCAAGAGCGAAACCCTGTCTCTAAAATTAGCCAGGCATTGTGATGGGTGCCTGTAGTCCCAGCTAGTTGGGAGGCTAAGGCAAGAGAATCACTTGAGCCAAGAGTTTGAGGTTGCCATGAGCTATGACTCTATGGCACTCTACTGAGGGTGAGAGAGTGAGACACTGCCTCAAAAAAAGAAAAATTATATTAAATCAATGCTGCACAGAATATTGCATACACATACGTATATACACTTCCTGATATACATAACTAGTGTATACACTAGGAGTGGAATTGCTGAGTTACAGAGCATGTGCATTTGCAGTTTTGATAGATTGTAGATTGCCCTCCAAAGGCATTGCACCAATTAATCCTTCTAGCAGATATGAGGAGACTTCCTTGAACTAAAAAATACTACGTTTTATAATGCCTGTCTCTGTGGCTCTGCACTGATCCTTTTGGAGGCCCTGGGGTCCATGTAACAGTTCTTTAGAGCTGCTTAAATGCCTCTTCTCCAGTAATAAAAGCCATTGCTATTTTTTTTAAAGCCATTGCTATTTTTTAATGCCTGATATGCTTCCCTTCTATATTGTCTCCCACCCTCCTCCAGAGAATTAGTGTTAAGCCTTTTGTCCTCTCTACAGATCAACGAGGAAATCTCTGTGAAGCACCTTCCATCTACAGAGCCTGACCCCCACGTTGTTCGTGTTGGCTGGTCCCTGGACTCCTGCAGCACCCAGCTAGGTAAGAGGAGATCAGGTAGGCAGTCCAGAGAGTGATTTGCCCCTACTCCTGGATTCTCAAGGCTCATAAGTTTCCCTTTCCAGTGTCAGAAATTACCTTCAGTGGAATAGGCACAAGGATTAGTATATACCACTAGCTGTATTCAGGCATACTAGATTCAACTGGGAGGACTGTAGTTATGTAATAATCTTTTAGTGAAGAATTAATTCTTACCCTTCACTTTTTAGGAATAGGCCCAAAAGGCTGGGCAAGATGGCTCACGCCTGTAATTCTAGCACTTTGGGAGGCTAAGATGTGTAGATGGAACTAAGGAGTTCGAGACCAGCCAGCAAGAGCGAGACCTCATCTCTAAAAATAGCTGCCAGTTGTGGCTGGCACCTGTAGTTCCAGCAACTTGGGGGGCTAAGATCAGAGAATCACTTGAGCCCAGGAGTTTGAGGTTGCTGTGAGCTGTGACATCCCAGCACTACTGAGGGCGACAAAGTGAGACTCGGTCTCAAAAAAAAAAAAGGAAAGGGCCCAAAGTTCTCTTTAGGAAAGTTTCCTTTCTTTAAAAAAGATTAATGTCTCCTATACTCAAACCATACTAAAAATAAGTTCTCAAACTCTATTAAGTTCTGTCTGGGTTTTCTGTCAAGAGCCTACACTAGACTAAAAGGGGAAGGAGAAACTAGTGATCAGGGCTGGTTGGCAGAGAGAAGGAAGTCTGTCCTTGAAAAGTGTTCAGTTTTTAGGTCCCCAGGCTTTAGTGACCTTCTGGCCCCAGTGATTATAATAACCAGTGCTGAGACTTTCTGTCTTGGTCACATAAACATTCTGATTATGAAAGTAATATGCGTTCCTTGCAAACATTAAGGCCATATAGAAAGGGAAAAATGAAAATCCTCCCTAAACCTAAAAGATAACAACTAATGTTAATATTTTCAGCTTCAGTCTTCTGGACTTTCATTTTTTTGTATGATTTGAAACTGGCCATGCTATGAGTACTTCTCTTGGCTTGATTTCTTTTTTTTTTTGAGATAGAGTTTCAGAATGTCACCCTCAGTAGAGTGCCATGACATCACCACTCACAGCAATCTCAAACTCTTGGGCTTAAGCAATTTTCTTGCCTCAGCCTCCCAAGTAGCTGGGACTACAGGCGCCCACCACAGCGTCTGGCTATTTTTTTGTTGCAGTTGTCCTTGTTTAGCAGGCCTAGGCCAGGCTCAAACCTGCCAGCCTTGGTGTATGTAGCTGGCACCCTACCCACTGAGCTACAGGCTCTGCCCTTGATTTCTTATAATATATCTTGGGCATATTTTTGTAGGTAAGTATAGCTTCAAAATTTTCCGTTGTTTTAGTTGTATTACTTATTTAACAAGTCTTTGTTTCTGTTTTTTGTTTTTTAATTGAGACAGTCTTATTATGTTGCCCTCAGTAGGATGCCGTGGCATCACAGCTCACAGCAACCTCAAACTCTTGAGCTTAAGCGATTCTCTTGCCTCATCCTCCCGAGTAGCTGGGATTACAGGCTCCTGCCACAACCCCTGGCTATTTTTTGGTTGGAGTTGTCATTTAGCAAGCCTGGGCTGGACTCGAACCTGCCAAACTTAGTGTATGTGGCTAGCGCCCTACTCGCTGAGTTACAGCGCTGAGCCTTAACAAGTCTTCTTTTCCACGTACACCTAAGGTGGCGGGTTCAAATCCCCAGCCCGGACCCGCCAAACAACAATGATGGCTGCAACCAAAAAATAGCCAGGCGTTATGGCGGGCGCCTGTGGTCCCAGCTACTTGGGAGGCAGAGGCAGGAGACTCGCTTGAGCCTAGGAGTTGGAGGTTGCTGTGAGCTGTAATGCCACGGCACTCTACCTAGGGGGACAGCTTGAGGCTCTGTCTCAAAAAAAAAAAAAAAAATAAAAGCTTAACATATTATAAGTTTTTGCTGTTAAACACTCGAACTATTATGCTTGTGTGTAATTGCCTGACCACTTAACGACTAATTATTAGGTGAAAAGAAGTGTGTAGTTTTCATCTCCGTATGTATTAAAATGTTTTATTTAACACTCATAGGTCATCTCATCATATGTTTTCTTAGTTTTGAGATGTGAGTGGTGGACAGTTGATACAGATGAGAAAAATAGAGCCCAGAAAGGTCAAGTGCCATGTCCAGAGGCACACAGCTGGTTCGTAACAGAACTAGGCCTGGAATTTATGCTTGTCATTGCCTGCTTTTCTAGCAGGATACTCTTTGGGTTCTGCCCAAGGATTTCTGTGTAATCCAGGTATTAGCAGAGTCTTTGAGATCTCTCATCACTTCAGCATCCAGGTTTGTAGCCTGAGAAAAAGCAATACCTTTCCCATGGGTCAGTCCTCATGATATTTAGAACTAAAACATGCCCCTTAACTAATTTATATCAATAATACATTAATGCCAAATGTTAATAACATTAGTAGGCTTTACTGAGTATTAAATGTCACAGGAAAGGGTTACATCTCAGCATAACAGCCATTCTTCTCCATCCCAGCTCCTCTCTTCCTTTCCTGTCTTCTTTTCCAAATTCTCCCTTTTATGTAGAACAGTTCAGTTTATCTCCTACTCCCAGTCTTAGCCACACCCATCAAACCCTCCAGAGTTCTATATTATAAAGGGCTTCCTTTCAACTTTCCCCACTTCTCCAAAACAACAAAAAAAAAGGCATCTGTAAGAGGCAATATGACTTTTTTTTTTTCTTTGAAAATACCATTGCAGGTTTAACCTTCCTCTACCTATTTCTTCCATCAGGTGAAGAGCCTTTTTCCTATGGCTATGGAGGCACTGGGAAGAAATCCACCAATAGCCGGTTTGACAACTACGGAGACAAGTTTGCAGAGAATGATGTGATTGGCTGCTTTGCGGTGAGTGCTAATAGCCTGTAAGAAAATTGGCAGAACCAGGCTCAGTGCCCATAGCTCAGTGGTTAGGGCGCCAGCCATACACTGGGGTTGGTGGGTTCGAGCCCAGGCTGGCCAAACAACAATGACAACTAGAGCAAAAAAATAGCCAGGCATTGGGTGGGCACCTGTAGTCCCAACTATGCGGTAGGCTGAGGCAAGAGAATTGTTTAAGCCTAAGAGTTTGAGGTTGCTGTGAGCTATAACGCCACAATACTCTACCGAGGGCAACATAGTGAGACCATCTCAAAAAAAAAAAAAAAAAGGCAGAACCAGATGTTGGGCTACAGACTTCTTTTTTAGGATACTTCTATTTATTGTCTGCCCTATATCCATCAGTTCTCACCATACTTCTTTGTCTCTGCTTAACAGACTAGAATGTTTACTGCCATGTGTGAAGTTCTTATCATTCTATCCCCTCTCACTTTGTGTGCAGAGTTGTCAGATGATACCTTTGGGAACTTTAGGTGTGCCCGGCCTTTCTCCATTTTTAGATACCAGAGTGATGTTTTCTTTCTTTCTTTTTTTTTTTTTTTTTTTTTTTTGAGACAGAGTCTCAGGCTGTCACTCTGGGTAGAAAGTGCCATGGCATCACAGCTCACAGCAACCTCCAACTTCTGGGCTCAAAGGATTCTCCTTCCTCTGCCTCCCAAGTAGCTGGGACTACAGGCATCTGCCACAACGCCTGGCTATTTTTTGGTTGCAGCCATCATTGTTGTTTGGCGGGCCCAGGCTGGATTTGCACCTGCCAGCTCAAGTGTATGTGGCTGGCACCTTAGCCGCTTGAGCCATAGTCCCTGAGCCCAGAGTGATGTTTTCTAAACCCAGGAATTCCTTATCTTTCTTTTTTATTTTTTTTATTTTTATTTGTCTGGGGCTGGATTTGAACCCACCACCTCTGGTATATGGGGCCAGCGCCCTACTCCTTGAGCCACAGGTGCCGCCCTAATTTCTTATCTTTCACATTAGGAAATAGCTATTAAAGGCAGTGGTGTTAGCTTTTGCCCCACATTGGTGTCATTGTATCCCCACACTTGTCCCTGTCTTCACCTCACATTAGTTAAGCCAAGCTTCTTAGAATGCACTGCCTTTTGGAAGAGCAGAGGCAAGTGCAAAACACAACAATATAGAGAGTGTCTCCAAAGCAGTGACCAACAGTGACAGTAGAATATGGCTATATGTCTAGGGCCACACTCCCTGAACCCACTCCCTGCTCGTCCATTCATAGCCCTGGGCAACTTACCCTCTCTTTCAGTCTTTTATAAATGAGAATCTTTACACTTACTTCAGAATTTTGTGTGGAGTCATCAGATTAATCTATTAAGAGCACTTCCAACATTGCCCAGTATTTACTACTTAATACTATTATTAGGGGGCACCCATAGTTCAGTGGTTAGGTGTTGGCCACATGATCTGAGGCTAGAGGGTTCGAACCTGGCCTGGGCCTGCTAAACAATAACAACAAGAAATAGCCAGGCGTGCCAGGCACCTGTAGTCCCACCTACTAGGGAGGCTGAGGCAAGAGAATCGCTTAAGCCCAAGAGTTGGAGGTTGCTGTGAGCTATGACATCATGATACTCTACAGAGGGTGACAAAGTGAGACTCTGTCTCAATTAAAAAAAAAATTTTTTTATATATATACACACACATACACACACACATATTTTATTATTACAAGTTATAAGAGAGATTGTAAGATGTGCTGTGAGGCCCCAGAAGAAGTGACTACCTTGATGGAGGCTAACTATGAGGCTTGTACTCTTTTCTTTTTTTGTTTTTTTTTTCAGACAGTCTCATTATGTCACCCTTGGTAGAGTGGCGTCGTGTCACAGCTCACAGCAACCTCAGACTCTTGGGCTTAAGCAATTCTCTTGCCTCAGCCTCCTAAGTAGCTGGGACTATAGGTGCCCACCACAACCCTCGGCTATTTTTTGGGGGGAGAGGGTTGCAGTTGTCATTATTGTTTAGCAGGCCCAGGCTGGGCTCTAATCCGCTACCTTTAGTGTATGTGGCCAGCGCTCTACCCACTGAGGTATGGGTGGCCAAACCTAGGTAGGGGCTTGTCTTTACATTTGTACACATATTTTCTTCTTATGTAAGGAAATGTTAAAAATAAAGAATTCTTTAGGGCCTTATCCAGATTCTAACATTTACCACATTTGCTTCATCATTTTCGTATGTGTGTATATGTGCACATACAGAATTGACCCCCTAAGGACTCAAGTCTAATACATTGGGAAAGATTTTAGAGATTTGTGACAATTTGGAAAAAACTCACATACAAACCATGTAGCCTAGGAATATTAAACAAATTAAGGAGGGGTTAAGTAAGTCATGAATGCATAAAATATATACAGATACTAGTCTGTTTTATTACTGCTGTAAAATATAGACAAATTGTTATTTTTTAAAAAAAAGTTAAAACTTGGCTTGGCGCCCATAGCTCAAGTGGCTAGGGCTCCAGTCACATACCCTGGAGCTGGCATGTTCGAATCCAGCCCAGGCCCACCAAACAACAATGACAACTATAACCAAAAAAATAGCCTAGCACTGTGGCGGGTGCCTGTAGTCCCAGCTGTTTGAGAGGCTGAGGCAAGAGGATCACTTAAGCCCAAGAATTTGAGGTTGCTGTGAGCCGTGATGCCACGGCACTCTACCCAGGGCAATAGCTTGAGACTCTGTCTCAAAAAAAAAAAAAAGTTAAAACTTATCAAAACTTAGACACACAAACTCTTGTATAGACCATATGTGCCGCCATTTGCAATCAAGAAAAATGTTAATAAATATAGAGATACATTATTAAATTATAACTGCATAAAATTAACTGTTACACACTGTAATAATTTTATAACCACCTGCTGTTCCTATTGTGGTGAGCTCAGGTGTTAAGAAAGTTTAAAAAATTATGACAGTTCAACTTTTTCTTATAATAGAAGAAGTCGAATTGCTTGATCGAGATGTGCAGCTACAGTTGCCTGCCACTTCAAAATAAATTAAACCTTTCCCTAAACAGGAAAGGAAATTCCTTAAGTCATTGTATAGCTGTGATAGCTGCGCCAGCAGGTGTGAAAACCTTATACATTTTGTGAAATACCTTATGTGGGTGCAGGATTGCTGTGAGAAAGGCATGCCCATAGACTCTAATACAATTCAAGAACAAGTGAAGTCATATGACAATTTAAAGTAAAAGGAGAGTGAATGATCTAAAGCAGTTTTGGGGGAGTGGTGAGATTTAATGCTAACAAAGGATGGTTTGATAATTTTAGGAGTTTTGGCTAAAAAAAAAAAAAGTCAAAGTAACTGGTAATCAGCTTGTGCCTACCACAAGGCAGCAGATAAAGTTTCTAGGCACCATTAAGAAAATCATTGAGGAGGTAGGAACTATGCCTGAACAAGTTTTAATGCAGATGAAAGTGCCCTGTTTTGGGTGGGGAAAATGCCACAAAGGATATTTATTACTAAGGAAGAGAAGCAAGCATGAAGATTTAAGGAAGGACTACTGTTTTGTGCAAATGCCATTGGATTTATGATATGGATGGGCCTCATCTATAAAGCTCTTAACTTTTTTTTTTGAGACAGCGTCTCACTGTCGCCCTCAGTAGAGTACGTGGTGTCACAGCTCACAGCAACCTCAAACTCTTGGGCTTAAGAGATTCTCTTGCCTCAGCCTCCCAAGTAGCTGGGACTACAGGTGCCCACCACAACATCTGGCTCTTTTTTGGTTGCAGTTGTCATTGTTTAGCTGACCTGGGTTGGATTCAAACCCACCAGCCTGGATACGGCTGGTGCCATAACCTCTATGCTACAGGCGCTGAGCCTAAAGCTCCTAACTTCTGAAGAGAAAAAGTAAACACCAGTGCCAGTCTTTTGTTTATACAACAAAGAGGTCTAAACAAGGAGAATCCTTTTCCTAAGTTATTTCTTTTGATGTTTGTCCCAGAAGTTAGAAGTACCTGCCTAGTAGTGGACTACATTTTAAAATTCTTTTGATCTTAGCACTCTGGGAAGCCAAGGTGGTGGATTGCCTGAGCTCAGGAGTTCAAGACCAACCTGAACAAGAATGAGCCCCTGCTTCTAAAATATAGCTGGGCGTTGTTTTGGGTGCCTGTGTAGTCCCAGCTGCTTGGGAGGCTGAGGCAAGAGAATCCCTTGAGCCCAAGAGTTTGAGATTGCTGTGAGCTATGATACCATAGCACTGAACCTCAGCAATTTACTCAAGGTAACTGAGTAAAACTCTTGTCTCAAAAATAAAATGAAATAATAAAACAAAATTCTTTTTTTTTTTTTGTGACCAAGTCTCACTTTGTTGCCCTCGATAGAGTGCTGTGGCATCATATCTCACAGCAATGTCAAACTCTTAAGCAATTCTCTTGCTTCAGCCTCCCGAGTAGCTGGGACTATAGGCACCCACCACAGCACCTGGCTAATAAAATTCTTTTGATATTGGACAAGGCTATTGGCTACCCAAAATTCTATGAGTTTAGCCCCAAAGGTGTCAAAATGGTCTGCTTTTCCCCAAACAAGGGGCTGACAGTTGAACAACATGGAAGTTGGGCTAAGCAGTCAATTAATGCATAGCTTTTGACTCCCCCAAAATTTAATAGCTTAGTCTTGACTAGAAGCCTTATGGATAATATAATCAATTAGTACATATGTGTAAGGAGACTAGTATCTACGTGTATTCTATGCGTTTGTCACATACCTTTTAGTTCAGTATTTCTAGGCTACATGTTTCATCTATGAGGTTTTTTAAATTGTTACAAATGTCCAAAATTGGGGCAGTGCCTGTGGCTCAAGGAGTAGGGCGCCGGCCCCATATGCTGGAGGAGGCGGGTTCAAACCCAGCCCCAGCCAAAAACTGCAACAAAACCCCCAAAAAACAAATGTCCAAATTTTTTTTCAATATATTTATTAGAAATATCTGTATATATGTAGACCTATAAAGTTCAAACTTGTGTTGCTCAATGGTCAACTGTATATGAATTTCATCTGATACATTTGATGATTGCATACTTTAGATCTTTCATTCCTCCATTTTATATTTATGGAACAAAGCTATTGGCTGGCCATCACAGCTCAGCCCAGCACCCTAGGAAGCAAAGGTGGGAGGATCCTTGAGGCTGGGAGTTTGAGTTTACAATGAGCTATGATAACATCACTGCATTCCAGCCTCAGTAACAGAGATCCTGTCTCTTTTTAGAAAACAACTATTAACCATAGTAAGGTTATCAAATTTAACATTGATATCATTATCATTATTTACCCCATAGGCCACATTTAAATTTTGTCAGTTAACCCAACAGTATCCTTTAGCACAACTTAGTTGTTAGTTTAGGATCTGATCCAAGATCATGTATTGCATTCTCTTGTCATGTCCTTTTAGTCTCCTTTAGTCTGAAACAGTTCTCAGCTTTCCTTTGCATTTCATGACCTCATTCTTTTTAGTAATAATTAAGCAAGTTTATACTCTGCAAACTATATTAAACGTTATATATTTTTCTCATTTAACAGTCAATCTTGGAATCTTTCCCTGTCCACACAGATAATATAGATCTAGCTTAATAAAAAAAACATTTTTTGAGTAATCAGTTTGTTTTCCAAGATAAATCCAGGAATATAAAAAGATATACTGTGTAGAGTTGCCTTCAGACTTCCCTCTACCCATTTTTCATATATATACATATATCCTCCCTACATGTGAACCCACTGGTTCTCAGGGTTTCTTTATCAAAAAAGATGATTGTGGCTTGGCACCTGCAGATCAGCAGCTAGGGCGTCAGCCACAGATACCAGGGTCTGGTGGGTTTGAACTGGCCTGGTGCCTGCCAAACAACAATGACAACTACAGCAAAAAAAATAGCCAGGCATGTGGGGACGCCTGTAGTCCCAGCTACTTGGGAGGCTGAGGCAAGAGAATCACTTAAGCCCAAGAGTTTGAGGTTGCTGTGAGCTGTGACACAATGGTACTCTACTCTGTCTCAAAAAAAAAAAAAAGATTGTTACTTTTCTTCCTTCACACAAAAAGTAACAAATTACACATGTCATTTTTCATCTTTTTTTGTTAACTATATATCTTAGAGATCTTTTTATAGCACTACCAAGAGGACCTCTTTGTTCTTTTATATAGTCTGTAGCTCTACCATAACTGATGTAACTTAGTCCTCTCCTATTAGACATTTGGTAGTTTTATACTATTATATTTAGTGGCCATCTAGTATTCTTATGCAGGAGTCAGGGCAGTTTAATTTAGCCAGTCTTCCTGTTTGTGGCTCTAAAAGTTGTTTTCCTGAAGAAATAATGCCTTAGTCACAGCTTATCTTTTTACCACTGCCAATGTAACTTGGAAATCTTTTTGTTTTACTACACTGGCATGAGCAATTTGCACACCTTTGCATTCTTATGGGAATATAGTTTTAGTGTTTCTCTTAATACTTAGCTTCTGGGTGAAAGGTGTATTCTTAAATTTTTTTTTTCTTTTTTTTTTTTTGGAGACGGAGCCTCAAGCTGTCCCCCTGGGTAGAGTGCCATGGCATCATGCTCACAGCAACCTCCAACTCCTGGGCTCAAGCGAGTCTCCTGCCTCAGCCTCCCAAGTAGCTGGGACCACAGGCACCCGCCACAGCGCCTGGCCATTTTTTGGTTGCAGCCATCATTTTTGTTTGGCGGGCCCGGGCTGGGGATTCGAACCTGCCACCTTAGGTGTACGTGGCTGGCGCCTTAGCTGCTTGAGCCACAGGCGCCGAGCCGTATTCTTAAATTTTGATAGGTACCACCAAGACTGCACTCCAGAGAAGTTGCAGCAATTTAACTTGTCAGTATGTGTGTTTCCCCAAACTCTGTTCCATCAGAACATGAGTTCCTGTGGGTGTATGGTAATATGGATCTCCAGGCCTTGACTTGCTTCAACCAGATCATCTCTACTTCTAGTTTTAAGACTCCATGTGCGGTTTTCAGTTTTCATTTTTTTAGAAGATGACACTTTTTTAAAGAGTTGGGGCTTTAAAGAAGTGTGAAGATAAGTGACTTCCAGGAACCATAGGGGAGGATTTCTGTGTCAGAAGGGAGTCCTCAATTCACAAAACAAAAAGGACAAAACAGCTTTCTCAGTGGAGAGGAGAAGATAACTTATCTCAGCAAACCATAACGAGCATAATACATACTTAGCAGTTAGGGGACAACACAGTGAGGTCTGGGAGATGGGGCTACAAGCATGGCACACTTCAGAGATTTGGGTGTTCCAAGCCTTTGGGTGTTCTCCTGCCTTAATTGGCAGGAGAATATTTTGGCAGGAACAATACAACTTAACACTTGCCTGTTGGACAGATGGCTATTTCCAGTGGTGGATTTGTTGATTAAGGGTGCTGGTATCTTTTTCATTCTTTATTTTTTAATTTTTATTGTTTATTTTTTTGAGACAGTGTAGATCTGAAGCTGTCTCTACCTTCTAAAACAGCATCTTAACCAGTAAACTTCAGCAGGTCAATAAATACTTGTTATTAAATGAATGAATGTAGTCCTTGCATGGCTCTCCAGTTGTGCCTGAAATTACTTCCCTCTCATCTTTTAGCTTCAGCTGATTTGACCCTGTGTTTTCTCACCATTGGCCTAGAATACTTTCTTCTCACCCCCAAACTTGGTTCATTTCAGGACTTAGTTTATGAGTCCCCTTCTCTGAGAAACTTGGTCTGGGAATGTCCTCTTAACTGGTCCTTCAGCTCTGTCAGGCCCAGATTACCACGGACACATATCAGAAAGATTAGGAACTCAGGGAACATGTTGAACAAACAAATCTACTGGTGGTGCTAGGTTCGGTTTAAATTGTAGTCGTGGCTTTCCTTCATCTATTAAATCTTCATAGATTGCCCTTGTTAGTTTTGAGGACAGGGCAAGATCCTCTTCTCCTTCATCTTCACCCAGGCTAGGCACAAGACTCAAATACTTGGAGTTTCTTTAAATTACTTGTTTCACATCCATCAGCTTCCAGGTCTTGGGTAAGGAGGGTTCTCTGAGATGTTCTCTGGCATTGCCCAGCTTGCCTGTTTTGGTGGCAAAACAGGAATGTGCTTAAATCTGGACAGTCAGCTGTATTTTCACCCTCTGCATCTCTATTCTTTCCAACTTGGGGTTCCCAGTGCCTTAAGCTGAGAATTGGGGGTTAAATACCTTTGACTTTTTCTTTCTAGGACTTTGAATGTGGAAATGATGTGGAACTGTCATTTACCAAGAATGGGAAGTGGATGGGCATTGCCTTCCGAATCCAGAAGGATGCTTTAGGGGGTCAGGCCCTCTACCCTCATGTACTGGTGAAGAATTGTGCAGTGGAGTTCAACTTTGGGCAGAGGGCAGAGCCCTACTGTTCGGTCCTCCCAGGGTTTACCTTCATCCAGCACCTTCCCCTTAGTGAGCGGATCCGGGGCACCGTTGGACCAAAGAGCAAGGCAGAATGTGAGGTGAGTAGGATCAGAAGACTGAATTATGGCCACTTCTCCAAACCTACTTTGTTAACAAAGCAAAGGGGAGACACTCAGTAGCTAGATGTGGTGAAACAAGCACAAATTTGCTATGTTAGTAAACTTGGCCAACTTTTTTCCAGTTCCCATAAGTCCACCATCTACAGATAAGTTTATTTCTAGAGTTTTATAGTTTATGTTATTCTTTTTGATGTGCTACGTACCTGTTTTATGTACACGTGTTTATAATTGAGATCTTACAAGCATTTTGCTATCCTGCCCTTCTCCCTGAATGTTTTTTTTTTTTCTTTTTTGAGACAGAGCCTCAAGCTGTCCCCCTGGGTAGAGTGCTGTGGCATCACAGCTCACAGCTCCAACTCCTGGGCTCAAGCACTTCTCCT